TGTATCTTCCCTCCCTTTGCAGCAAGGCTAATGACACACTTACTTAAATCTTTCCAAATTGGTTTAACAGTATCATGATACTGTGACACTTTTTGGTGCCAATATTGCGAAAGAGTCAAAGGGACTTGCTCATCACTAGCCTCAAGACTACATTAAAAAAACAAAGAAGGAAATAACCCTTTCCCAATCCGCTGTGCTTTAGGAGGTTATATGCTTTCCAGCAGTCCCATTCACTAAAAAGAGGAGAAAAATAAGCTTAACAGTGGGACTCCATCACACCTTTGCTGTGGGAGTAGGTTTGATCAGTTACGCAGTGTTCTCCTCCCCATTTCTAATTCCTTTGTCCTAGTCCAAAATCCACACCTTTTTTTACCTGGCTAAGTTATAGATAACACATCTCCCAATTACACCAGAGCTCATTATACATAAAATCAGTAGCAATGGCCTAAAGGATTATTTCGCTTCTCAGATCTGAAGAGTGCCCACTGTAGGGTTCTGTTTGGATGCCCCATCGGGTATAAAGAGGAGGAGGCACCTGGACAGAACATCAGTTTGAGGGAAGGCCTTGAAGTATTTTTAAAGGAGATCAAGCTCTGTAAGATATCCCCTTTGTTAGGTTTCACGACCTCTCCTAAATACTTTGCCTTGCTGTTAATGATTGGTGTGGTCCCAGGATGCAGCTGCCCTGTGGATCTCAGACCATAGCTCATTCTGAGGCAGACAGCGCTCGATTCATTAAATCCACAAAAGTAGGGTCAGCACGAGAAGCGGAATGGGAGAAGTGGAGGAACTTAAAAGACCTGTTGTGCCCCTGGCAGCCTGAGTCACTGAGAAAGGAAACAGCTCCCCAGGGCATCAGCGAGAGCTGTACCTTCAGCTTCAGACACAAATGAGTCTGTCAGCCAAAAAGCATCTAAAAAAAAGCTCAGCCAAAAGGCAGCCACGGCGTAGATCACTGCTGCCAGGTCTGTATGGGGCGCACACTTCTGAAACAGCAGAGATGACAGAAACATCTTTAGAAACAGACTGTCTGGTTGCCTGAGGTTTTGATGAAAGGGCAGGAGAAAGGATGAAGAAAGGTTTGTGATTCCAATGGAATATGGAGAAGTTTCTCCTCTCTGACCAGCATCAATTAGGTCTTGCCTGGGTTTAACTTGCAGCCAGCTGCTTTTAATCCAAAAATTAATTTCCTGTAGGCATTTTACTGCTGTGCATAACAAAGATTTTGCTTAGAAATGGCAGGAATGGACTCGGCATGGCAAAGGTTGGCTCTGCAGGGCTAAAATGAATTAAATGGCACAATAATTACATTTGTCCCTACAGTCAATCCTGGGGTCTTAATTTAGATGAGCTCCTACTGAAATCAGAAACTTCTGCCCCAGGACGAACGAATAAAGCCCTGGGATGTGGCCACACTTAACCAGAGTGCACAACCTATTGTTAATTCGATAATGATATCTGCATTTTACTTACCTGTGAATATAACAGTGTTCAAGCTAGATTTTCCCCATAACTCCATGAAATGAACCACATCCCCAAACCTAAGAGAGGGATGTCCAGTGAACACAACACATGGCTGCTTGAAGTCATTGCTGAAGTCTCCATGGATGCTGGGATAATGTTTCAATTTGTTTGTCTGAATAAGCTGAAATAAAAACAAAAATCCAGACATTACAAACTTTTCATGCCTCTGTGCTCTGTAGTTCAGTGTGTTTATTTATATGAGATTATAAATATTCTAGTTTATTTCTAATTCATCGCAGAGTCCCTTCCTGCATATCCCCTAGATTTTCCAAGAGATTTAGTCACGACTGCCCTAAATGTTATGAAAAGGAAGTCAGAGTACGGGGCCAGATGCCTCCAAGTCCTTGCCCTCATTTCTTTGGTACCGGCAGTATGGTAACTGAGAGGAAATTCTGCAAACACTCCCTGCTTACAGTTTCCTGGAGTGAACAGCATGATCAGCTGCCAAATTCAAAATAAGCCACTTTTTTCCTATTTGCCATGTCTACAAAGAGCTCTGGGCACTGATGTTTAACCTGGTTTTCTTGCATGAGAGTAGCACCAGGCAATTTTGCCTTCAGCAGTATGTTGCTATGAGTTTCACTGGTATAACGGGTCTGCACGAAGTCAAGTCCTCTGAAAAAACACGAAAGAAGAGACTGACTTGCCCTTCCTTAACTATTGCCCAAACTAGTAATAACAAGGAACTAAGAGCAATAAGAAGTACTTGTCACTAGAGCTGGCACAGAGTGTAATCAACTATGCACGTGGAACAGCTTTCTTTACCAAGATGGGGAATTTTATTTATCAAGGAACTTCTTGAAGAAGAATTTTGCTTTATTTCTCCTGCCACTGTTTTCTAATCTGCAAAGCAAGGTTCGACTTAAAAAGCAATGTAAGAGACTGCTAAAGCACTTTCATGCAATGTTCTGCAAGTATTTTCTTGGCAGTTATATGCTTCCATCCCCAGCCTCAAAATACCTGTAAATACAGTTTTCTTAAAAAGTATGCAATTTCACACAAGGAGATCACACGCTGAACAACTAAGAACATACACGGAAACAGAAAGTGTGAAAGAGGGGAACGGTACTTCCTTTGTCAGCCAGTTTTTAAAAGAGGTGGGACTGTTCATCAAAGATCTTTCCACACGTTGCTGTCTCCTGTCAGGCATTGCAACGTTGCTCAAAATACAGAATTCCCATACACAGGGTTCAGCAACACGTTTCTGCAGCTGTTGTGCCATGGAACCCCAGACAATGCGACTAATTAGCCAACCGCATGGTCTTCACTATGTGTCATAACACGATGTGCGCATCGTGCCTTTCCAGCAGAAACCCCTGCCACTCAGGACGTTTCCTCTTCGTTATAACATATTTGATTTTCAAAAGAGGAGCTAAGAAAGAACATTACGATAAGCAACTCCTCTGGTGTCTCAAAGCTGTAATTCATCTCTCCAGATTCTCTTTCATTTGTTACTTTTTGCCATGGTAGATCTAACTCAAGATAGTGGGCCTACACGGAAATGAACAGAAAACTGAGAATTCTGATGCGTCTTTAAGCCTCTTAACAACTGATGCACAACAAAGCACTTCAGAGCTTAAGGTTATTACACAATTAGGTTCTTAATTGGTTTTAGTATCATTGAACAATAATATCGACCCTACTACCAGCACCTAAAGGTATGCTTTGATGCTAGAACAGGCCATGTACAAACTTACCCTCCATACCCTTTCAATAATAGAAAGTTGGCTGCCCATAGGTGCCAATATTTATCTTTCTCCTTTGCTTCCTCGAGTTTGGTCTCCTCGAAGTTCCCAACAGCAAGTATTTTGCTGTGATTTTGCATCTGACTTCCCACGTGTCCTGTTTAAAACTGATGTGCAATACCTGGCTGGCTGGAATGGAATGGAATTGGGCTTTGACGTACGATGGAAACTGTAGGCGGACACAGGCTGTTATTTCCACGTGGATCCTTGGACCATGGAGGAAGTAGCCACGGCACTGCACTTTCTGCAGTTTACTACAAACATCAAATTCCTATTAAATCTTCAAGAGGGAAATTTGAAAAAAACATCCAATAACTGCTCTGGCAGTTAATCTGCACTGAATCGTGAAAACATTTCTGCAATTAAGACTGGTAAAGATTTCTGATTAACACATCTGGACTGCAATATTTAGAATCTAAACTTAGCTTCAGTAATAAAAACTGCAATTTAGCAGACAATGGGCAAAACAAATTTGATCCCGTAAAATACTGGCATTTAAAAGAACGGGTAGGAAATGGCCCCATGAAGCTTTTCCCTGATTTTTTTCAGGGAAGCCAAAAGCCTCAAAACTGAAGTTGCAAAAGCGGTTTCAATTGGGTAAACTGGAAGAAGGGGACAATTTCTACTTCAAATATTGAATGGGATATGTGACATTCCAGGGCAAAACTTTGTAGGGGACCAGCAGACAGTTAAGTGACAGACATTTCTACAGCTAGCATTTATGTAACGCACTTCTGAAAATCACTACCTATTCTTCCAGCACCGGGTTTCACAGGCTCCTTAGGATTTGTATACAGCATTCAAACCTTTGCTAAGATGTGAGAGCAGCACTCTGTCGTGCAAAAGCATTCTCAACAGCCTATTTCACTGCTATACCTATACAGTGTTTATAAACATAAAAGCTGCATTCTCTTCAAGGCGTTATGGAAGCTTCAAATCCCTTCCTATTACTTTGCAGAGAGACACGGGATCTCTAAGCCAGTTTTCAGGACCATGGGTTTTGTGTGCGGGGTTTTTTTTAATTATTTTTTTATTATTATTATTTCCAGCAACAAAACAGCTAGCATGACGCTGGGGCGCACTGCTTCTAACTGGGGGGGATGCTAACTCAGGAGGGAAAAGGTACACGTGTTGAATCCTCAGCACCATGTCCTCAGGTGCAGTGATTTTTTTTTTCATCTTTTTTTTTTTTCTTTTTTTTTGTATCTTTGATGATAAGCCTACTGAAGCTCCAGAGCTTAGCTCTCAATCTCTGATTCTCACAGCTAGGTGAGAATAGCAGGGGTGAAAGGCTACAAAAACAAGTTTAGAGACATTCTACTCACTCCAGTGATAAAGCAGCTGGTAGACTTCAGTGTCTTGAGCAAAGTCTTTTCTAATCACCGTATCAAAAATATACGGAGCTGAACTTGCAAAACAGGGACAACAAAATTTCACAAATCATTAAGGGGACGAAACTGGTAATGATTTGTACAAGTCTTTTATATCTAGAGATGAGAGGGGTTGTATTAGCCCAACAGTCATGACCGTGTCATGTTCCCATCTCCAACCTGTACCAAGCTGGGCCAAGACCGATGCCTGGCGTTTTGCCAACCAATATTTTCAAAACAGGACTGATTTCTGGAAACTAGAAGCAACATTCAGAGCGTCTTTCTACAGAAAGAACCATTATTGACCGAAAGCTTAAGAGATAGAGGATGGTAAAGTACTGAACCGAGACCGAGGAGAGCTGTGTTTTTTTAAAATCCCAACTGGTTATGCTTCCTTTTAAAGTGGTAGACTTGATTTACAGGGTCAGCAACTGCTGCTATAAACAGGATAAATCTCCAGAGTCTTTGTGTACCCTGTACTGAAGTGAGCCAAAATACACTGCTATTTACTCTCTGTGTGTGTGCGTGTTCTGCATCCAGAATTTTGAACAGATGTGCTTCTTATCAATGAGTGAGTGATGCATTTATTACTGCACCTCCCTCACTCCCTTCATGAGACCAACACTAACAGGGGCCTAATTCAATATAATACTATAAGACAAAACATAATACTATTCAATCACCTGGTTCCAGGTATTTATTGCTTTGAATGTGTTACAAAGGAACCGGTACGTGGAGGAGGGAAGCGAAGATGAAGAAGACAAATGCCAGTATTTAAGACCACAGAATCAATATTACTCCCACCCTGGCTATTTTCAGTCAGAAAAAGAGGCTTTTCCTCGCCATTCCTCTTCGATGTTGCTAACAGAATCCTCAATAGGAGGACAGCAAATCCAAACTCTTCCTCCACTAGCAAACACTGAGCAATATAAATTACCTCTGAAATGTTTCTGTTGCGGACAGTTAGAGAAGCCTATCACAGAATTTTCCGAGTTGGAAGGGACCTCTCGAGACCACCCAGCCCCACTCCCCTGCTAAAGCAGGACTGCCCAGAGCACATCCCTCAGGACTGCATCCAGGCGGGTCTTGAAAACCTCCAGAGAAGGGGACTCCACCCCCTCCCTGGGCAGCCTGTGCCACTGCTCTGTCACCCCAACCCTAAAGAAGGGTTTCCGTCTGTTGGAACGGAACTTCCTCTCTTCCAACTTGTGCCCATCGCCCCTCGTCCTGTCCCTGGGAACCACCGAGAAGAGTCTGGCTCCATCCTCCTGCAACCCCCCCTTTAGATACGTGTATGCCATAATAAGGTCTCCCCTCAGCCTTCTCCTCTCCAGGCTAAAGAGTCC